AAATCATATAGTTTTATGTATCGCACGATACCTGAACCATGGCCTATTGCTGTGTAATGAAACTTTAGCTTATAGGGACTCGATGCTTATACCACTGAGCAAGGAGTGCTAATCCTCTTTTTTTGTTTATTTATTTTTTTTTTTTAAAGTGCGGTAGATTTGCAAAAACTTTATTGAAAATAATTAATAAAAATTATATATATCAGAATTTACAAAAATCTCTATCTAAATAATCATGAAACCATCTAAGTCAAGACCGACCCTGCACTCTTCCAGAATCTAACACAACTGAAACCATGTTATCATATTCCAGCAATCAGAAAAAAAAAAGGCTTGACCCCTACTGCATCAAAAATTTGTCCAATGAGATCCATTACTGATCATAGAATCAACAAGTTGATTAGAATTGTAAGATGTGCGATAAGTTGGAAAACTGTATCCTGAGGATTCTATATGAGATCGCTTTAAAGCATCTGTAATATCGCGAAATATTTCAAAAGTCTTGAGCTCTAAACAGCGGTCCTTCCAAATAGCTTGAGATTGTTCAAATATAAAATGCATGAAATTGGAAATAGCGGCAAAAATCTCATTTTGAGAATTAAAAGACCTTTTGAAAAGATACATTAAATTAAACGGAATGATGTCTTTAATAAGGTCAATAAATGTGAACTGTGTTAGTGATGGTGGGAAAAGTGACCAGATGTCAAGCTGTTCAATTTGTTGCGGTAAGTGATCAGATTGTAATATATTAGCGAAAAACAATTTTGTGTTATTGACTAAAGCATGCGATTTGTGCAGAATCATAGGACATGTCTATATATGAGCAAAATCCTCTCACATCTGATGCAGAATTGAGAGCTGTCAAAGAAGAGTGGATGACGTTTCTTTAGCATTTCAATAGTGGAAAGCATTTCGAGAAGTCTATATATTTTTGATTTCATTAACGCAGATGCTTCATAAGGAGTAATACTAGGAGCAATATTGTCAGAGATGCATTTTAATGTAGTAATCCAATCAACATCCAAAATGGTATATTTGTGATTAATATCCAGATTCAAAAAAGAGGTAAAGACATCTGCACACAAAATATGTTTATGAAACTGTCGTATAGGAGAAGCTATAGCCAAATGGTTAAAATATAAAGATATGTGGAGTTGGTCATTAATAAGAAGATTTAAAGCTGACGAAGTTAATGAATTCTTAGCCATTTGATTGACTTTTTCATTATAGGTATTATCCGAATATGCTTTTACTTTATCAATTTCACAGATAACAAAAGGGTATCTATAATTTGAAATAGACATTGCCAAATGTGTACGTTGACAATCTTAAGGAATGGTCGTTGTGATGGGGAAATGGTTGACAGCAGCTTGCACTTGTTATATTGTGAAATAATGTTGCTAGAGTCTGTATGAATTACAACGTGACAGCTAGCAGGGGCAACCAAAATAGCAGTGAACATTGCAGCCAATTCAGCAACTGATAATGAGGGAAATGAGGAGGTAAAATACGTTGAATATGAGAGCATGGGAGAAACCAGTGCAGTTTGAAGCCAAGCCAGACCCATTCTGATTGAGGGAGTACCAAGATCTACTAAGGAGCCATCTGTGTAGAATTCTAAATGAGTACAAGGACTGAATTGGGAACGAAGTGTTAGTAGAGTCTGTATATGTGATAAGGGTACAAATTTTTCTATGAAGGAAGGAGGAATAGGAGAAATAAAATCAATTGCAGGTATAGGAGATGGGGGAATACTATGATGATGAATGAATGCTTTAGCTAATTCATTGAGTAAATTAATAGACTATGAACAACCATGAGTTGAGTCATGATTATGATGTGCTGGAATGATAAAACAGAAATTGATTGGCACTATAAAAATACATTTGTTTTCTTGGTCAGTAGTTTGATATGGCACAAAAGTTTGACAGTCATACAGAGCACAACGACTACAGTTTGAGAACAAAGTTCTATTATCTTGAGTACTTGTAAGAAGTACATGCAATATATGCACGTAGTGTTCTTCTGTTTTAAGAAGACTTCCAATAAATAGGTGTTGTGACCATAATTCCAGCCAAGTACAAATTCAATTGTACTAGCTTTCTTGATAGGAGGTGAAAAGTCGTAAGTACAGTTGTTCGAATGTGGGTAGGAAGCTCGCAAGCTTCTATCCTGATCGTTTAATAATAATCTATCTTGGAGGATTAAAAACCAACATAAAATGCGTCGTGTTGGCAGAAATCCTGGTAGTATATTAAGATCATAAAAAGTTAACATGATCTTGCCAGCTAAAAAGACCAACTGTTCAACAAATAGCAAGGAGTATTTCCTCAAGTTCACTGAAAGAGCCTTGTAATCATAAGGTAGCATCACCGAGGAGAGAGGAATTGAACCGCTTTTAATAACCAAGTGTTCTGAATCAGGAAGTTATATAGTGATATTTAGCCGCTTCCAATTGCAAAGCAGAATAGCAATCCAATCATTCGATTTAGAAGCTAGGTATGGCTATATAATCAATGGAGAGATGTGCAGCCATTCTTTTTGTTGAAGTTGTTTAATGCGCAATCTGGTAGACTCCCCAAGTAAATTGTGATCATTAAGAGAGAAATGTAATGCTTCACTATGAGCTACAAGAAGACGATGATGGAGATCCATGAGGTTGTAAAAGTAGTTAGAGTGAAAAACTGATACTGGTGTATTTCGTGATAGATGCAATTTATTCTTCATGAATACTCTGTAGGTCGAACCAAGAGTATCACATTAAGACGGTGTGAGTGCAGTTAATTGGGCACAATATTCTATCTGTGGGGTAAGAATAGTGTTAAATATATACATCAGTTGTTTATCGGTCATTTTCTTTTTGGACATGATGGTAATCGCATTTTTGATTTCTCCTTTGAGCATATTGATAGTAAAAGTCTTATTTCTTCCCAATGAAATCCAAACACCTAGGTACCGAGTGGAGTCATTAAGAGGTAATGGGTTGATGTTAGTGAGACTACCATTAATATTGCATGTAAATGGTTAGTTATGTTTAATATTATTAATCATTAGGACTGATTTCTCCCAGTTGACTTTAATGTGATTTAGTTTGTAAAAACTTTCAGCAATGGTAACAATATTGGTGAGGTCATCACGTGATCTTGCTATCCAAATGGTATCATCCATATAGGCGAGAGCTGAAGTTTTGAGAGAAAATAATTCTGTTTTGTTTATAAGTACATTAGGTTTCCATGTGAGCGAGGCAAAATAACCAAGTGTTGAATTTTGAATGCGACAGAGTAATGGATCATAAAAGATACACCATAATAAAGGTGAAATGATCTCTCCCTGATCAATACCAGAAATAACTTGGTAAGACTCAGTATTACCAAATAGTGTAAAGATTTGATTATGGCAATTTCCAAATATTTTAAGGACAAATCTAAGGAAATTGAATGGAATGTGCAGCTGTTCTAATGCTTTAATAAGCATAAATATGTTGACCCGGTCATAGGCTTTGGACATATCTTATAATAAAATCCATAAGTCTTTTTGGTTGTGTGACGCATCATATTTAATATTGTCAATTATATGTAAAGGTTCAAAGGTAGATTTGAATGGAAGGTCAGCAAAGTTGAGTCCTTTTAAAACATTATTTCTAATCAAAATATTGGAAAGTCGATGGTTTAAAAGTTTTATGAGCGCTTTTCTTAGGCATTCTAACAACATTATAGGTCTGGTATTGTTTAGGTCATATTCCCATAGTTTAGGCTTGGAAATCAGATAAACAAAAGCGTGATTCCATCTGTGTGAAAGCAAAGATAATTCTAAGCAACTGCAAATAATATACCAGAGCAATTTTTTAGTCAAGGGGCCAAGATTTTTGAGTATTTCATTGGATACCTTGGATAACCTAAAAGCTTTACCATTAGGGAGTTGGGTGATAATGCAGTACCATTCGTCTGCAGATAGAAGAGTCATTAAGTCACTGTAGATGGAGCTATGAACATCATCCAAGGGTTGATAGAATAGAAGCCACTCCTCGTCCATTTGCACGTTCTCGTGAGAAGTACCAGCCGCCATTTGAAAATGTCTAGCCACTTCCTTTTTGACCTCATCTTCATTAGTCAAGAGATCACGTGATGGTGAATTATTATTAATGCATCTATCAATGATAATTGTCCGTTTAGAGTGGTCCATAAGAGAATCTATGATATGTGCAGGTGAAATATTATAGTTTTCCAATCTTCTTTCAATGGCGAGTTAAATAGATTTTAATTTAAAATCATGTTCATATAATTTCGATTTGACAAGAATGCAGCCTAGCAGCAGATCTATATCAAAACAGATAGATTTTGCGACGATAGTAGTAAGATTAGGAGGAAGCCTAACATAACCTATACCAAAGTCATTCATAATTGTGTAAAAATTTTGACTAAAGTACACCAATGTTGGGGAAGACAAAATGTAACCTCTATTTTCTTTACCAATCTCTTTAGTTTATATAGCAGCTTAAGGTTTTTGTACAACTTAGACAAGAGAGGAGGTCTCTTTATTGTATGGTGTTCTTTTGATTGGTATGATGGGATTATAGAGAGTGCAGTCTTAATGATACACTCTTGTAAAAGGTCCCAAAATTGGTTTAACATATTCTGGTTAAGTACTGTCTTATTGTTAAGGCAATGTAAATAACAACCATTAGCTAAAGCGTCAGTTTTTTTAGCGAAAGCTGCCCAATTATCCTCAGTCATTTTGTCAAAGTCATAGACCTTTTTCAAAGGAATATTTCTCTTATTGTTTTTAACATCTAAGAAGTTTTCGATATAAAGGATGACTATAGCGTGATCAGTTAAAGTGGATGTAAGCTGAACTGTTTTATAACTGATGAAGTTTGAGATGACATCAACTGAAGACCAAACGTAATCTATTCGAAAAGATGACATAGGGCTATGATGCATAAGGTATTCAAATCTTTGTGTATCATATTTGACTGAGAAAGTGTCAAACAAATTGAAGTTGTTCAAATTAGCAAAAAATCTTTTATCTTGAGAATGCAGCTTAAGATTATTAATGTCTGCATTGAGGTCCCCTAAAAGTATTATATGATAATTATTTGCAAACGTATCTCGAATATATTGTAAGAGGTCCCCTTGTATCTGTTTTCTAATGGTGTGATTGCCAGGTGGAGGATAACAATTGATTACTCTTAATTTTTGTTTGTTGGCAAATTGCAAATCTACTAAAATGATACGATTATGCTTAGATTCATGGTGAAAAACGTGATTCGCTAGATGCTGACATCATAAGAGACCCACACTGAAACCAGATTTTTGAGGTAGAGAATCAGAAATTGAACCAAAAAAACCAGTGAATTTGGATGAGAAAGTGCGGTTAAAAGTATGTGTAGAAAAGGATGAAAAATTTGTTTTTTGTAGCCCAATAATATCTAATTTGAGTGAAGAATACAATTCTATGATAGAAGTTTGTTTAGTGATGTTAGTGAAAGATCTGACGTTATGAGTGGCAAATGAAATTTGATGAGGGTATATAAATCATTATGTGCATCTTGTGCAGGAACATCAGTAATGACAGTGTTCATATTAAAAATTATTAAAATTGTGGAAGCTCCTTGAGATACTGATCAACATCGCTGTCGAAAGCATCTCCTAGAGGGAACATATTATTGGCAAATTCCTTAGGCAACAATTTGTTCTGTACCAGAATGGATTGAAACGCAGCACAAGATTTAATTAAAGTGTTGACCGTCATTGTGAAAGATTTAAGGCGATTCTGATGCATCTAATTAATGCTCTTCTATCCCTCAATAGTTTTTCGTTGTTGCACAATATTAGAGGATAATATGCTGATCTTAGGTTCGATTTCATCACAAGTCATACTTTCCGCATCATCTCTTGCAAGGTTTTTAGCATCCGCCTCTGAAGGAGTAACTACTTTAATGTTCATTGATTTCTCGATAGCAGCTACACATTACACAGTAAAATCAAGTGATTTTACTAAATAGCAGAGGTTGTCATTAAGTGCAGAGAATTGTTATCAGACAAATTCTTTAAAATCATCCTGATTATTTTCGTGTATAGATCCACCTTTTCTTGTACTATTCGCCAAGTACATTGAGAGGTTGGCACAACTGTTTGGTCAAATAAACGATTATTCAATGTATCAGAAATATCATCGAACCATGAACTTGTCTGTTAGTTGTATGCATCATTAGTCTCATACGTGTTCCTTGGTGTTGGCTTTTTGTCATGCAAATTCTTTTGTCCTTTCATTTCATCATTAGAAGAAGATTTGGGTTTTTGGGCATTTCCGGTCACATGCGCAAAGGTAATGTTTGGATTAATTGCATCTTTTAAGGGTTTTGATGGCGCTTTATAATTTGTGAATTGTACCAGTTGAAAGTGTTAATATAATTTTTGTACATTGCGATTATCTGGAGTTTTCTCTTTTTAGAACACTCGCTAGCTTTATGATGAGGCGACGAACAAATTGCACAGAGTTTTGCATTTGATTGGGTCCAAGTCACATGTTTGTTATCAATAGTAAGATTATCATTACTAATTGCTGCTTCTACATCATCGTCAGAGCTGAAATAGAAATATGCGTACTGAGTGGAAGATAATTAGATCTAGCCCTCGGTATAATCCAAGCAGTGGCATTCAATATATGCCCAATTTCGATAAATTGCTTTCCTGTCGTAAACCTAGGAAGCCCAGCCAATTTGGCAGAAAATTTCGATTTAGCAAGTATGTCCTTTTTTGGTAGATTACACATGTGATATCTAACCATATTGTTAAGAACAAAAAGTCTATGTCCCTTTTTTATATTATCAAAATTAGAGTCAGCGCTATAAGTAATAGTCATCTGCTGCCAAAGATTTTTTGTGTCCATTGTGAGTCTGACAATCTTTTTCAATTTGGAGAATACTGTTCGAATTCTGTGCTCCGTTATATCTAAAGGAATTTCTGTGACTTTGATCGACTAAGCTGCAACAAATTGATATTTAAGGACGATCTCCAGGGGTGAAAATGTACGATTATCCATATTTGGTAACTTAACAGTATATGTGTGGTCTCTATGTTCTTTATTTCGAAAGGAAATTTTAGCAATTCGAAGAGTGATATCGTCCGGGTGTTTTGAAGTGACCGCATCAGTGAACGAATCATAATGATCGAAAATGAGGTCAATAACAAAGGAGATTTTTTGTTGCGACGATTTTCCAGGAAGGTCGTTCAAAGGAAAAAACGCGTGAAAAGTTGGTTTAGACCTATCGAAGGCTTGCAGCAATTTGTAATTTTCATTGAGAAGATTTTCTGAAAGGTCGTACGCTTCGTTGACGTTGAGTGTAGTTTGGAAGATATCTTCTTCTTTGTTTTTTCCTTTATCTAAAGGTGTTGGGTCGACTTCTATGGTTTCTAGAGGTACGACTGTTGTTGAGCTACTAGGAGTTGGAGTGGTATCTCTAGTTTGCGTTGGGTTTATTTTTTTGGTTGAACTTTTTGAAGTATTGTTGTTTGTATGTGGAGACGTTGAGCGACCTCGTTGTTTGGAGTTTCTTCTCTTAGGTGCCATTGTAAAAGAGGAGAAAGAGTTTTTTTTCCCTTTTCTTTTTTTTTTGTTTATTTATTTTTTTTTTTTTTAAGTGCGGTAGTTTCGCTAAAACTTTATTGAAAAATAATTAAAATTAAAATTAAAATTACATATATTCAGAATTAACAAAAATCTCTATCTAAATAATCATGAAACTATCTAAATCAAGACCGACCCTGCACTTTTCTAGAATCTAACACAACCAAAATTATGTCATCACATTCCAGCAATTAGAAACAGAAAAGGGCTTGACCCCTACGGCACCAAAAATTTGTCCAATGAGATCCTAAACGGACCATTTTATCTATAATCTTGTGAGGTTCGAACGTCAAGTTAGTCATATCGAAGTGGTAGCCAGAGCTCTCAGTGAGTGATCTCTTTAAACTGTCAGTGATTTCGCGAGAGTTTTCAAAGTCTTTAAATTGTGAGCAGCGTTCTTTCCAAATGTCATTAGATTGTTCAAAAATAAAGTGCATAAATGATGACAATGCGGCCTCGGTAGCTTCTTTGGAAGTCAGCGATTGATAGACCGTGTTATATAAACATGAGGGAATGAAACCTTTAATCAAATCGATAAAGGAAAATTGCGGTGAGGTTGAAAGAGACCAAAAGCTCGAATTAAGGAAATCATGATGCAGCGTTTCGTGTGTAAATGAGCAGAGTAATGATTGGGACTTTTGAATAATACGTTGTGTTTTGTGGAGAACTAAGGGGCAAGTCCAAATATGGGCAAAGTCCTCTAGTTCTGTTTCACATCTGAAACATTGTTCCGCACTATCGAATAAAAGTGGGTGGCGAAGTTTAAGGATTTCGAGAGTAGGGAGCATCTCTAACATACGTTGGAGTTTTTTCCTTTTGAAAGCTGAAGCTTCATAAGTAGTGGCAGCGGAGGCGGTATTATCAGATATACAGAAAGCTGTAGCACACCAATCGATGGACATACGAGTGTATTTAGAGTTAATGTTCAAATTTAAGAACTCAGTAAAAGTCTCAGCTCTGTTGATGTTTTTGATAAATTGTCTAATTGGAGTGGCAATCGCCAATTTGTTGTAATATAGAGACGTATGAGACTGATCGTTACAATTAAAGTGGAGCGCTGGAGAATCCAAAGAGTCTTTTGCTAGCTGGTCTACTTTATCGTTATAAAGGTCACCTGAATGTGCTTTAACTTTGGCAATAGATACCGATAGAGCCAAGGTATCAATGATTTGAAAGATACATTGCCACATGTGCACATTGACAATTTTAAGAAAGGGACGTTGAGATGGTGAAATCGCTGACAGTAGTTTATACTTGGAAAATTGTGAAATGACAGAACTTGAATCTGTAAAAATCTTTATGAGACACTTTTCCGGTGCTACCAAAATTGCAGTGAAAATGGCCGCTAATTCGGCAGCTGAAGAAGAAGGAGAGGACGCTGTAAAAGCTGTTGAATAAGAAATCATTGGAGCAGATGG